CGGGTGAAGACCATGGTGAGGCAGGCTGTCCCCCTGCAGCCTGTGGAGGACTCCATGCCGGAGCAGGTGGATGCCCGAAGGAGGCTGTGGCCCTATGGGGAGCCTGTGCTGGAGCAGGCTCCTGGCAGGACCTGTGGAGCCGTGGAGAGAGGAGCCCACGCTGGAGCAGGTTTGCTGGCAGGACTTGTGACCCCACAGGGGATCCACGCTGGAGCAGTCTGTTCCTGAAGGACTGCACCCTGTGGAAGGGGCCCACGCTGGAGCAGTTCATGAAGAACTGCAGCCTGTGGGAAGGACTCACATTGGAGGACCCATATTGTAGTTCATGGAGGACTGTCTCCCATGGGAGGGACCCCACGTTGGAGCAGGGGAAGAGTGTGAGGAGTCCTCCCCCTGGGGAGGAAGAAGCGGCAGAGACAACGTGTGATGAACTGACCACAACCCCCATTCCCTGTCCCCCTGTGCCACTGGTGGGGAGGAGGTAGAGAAATCGGGAGTGAAGTTGAGCCTGGGAAGAAGGGAGGGGTGGGGGGCAGTGTTTTAAGATTTGTTTTTTGTTTTCTCATTACCTTACTCTAGTAATAAATTGAACGAAGTTCCCCAAGTCGAGTCTGTTTTGCCTGTGACGGTAATTGGTGAATGATCTCTCCCTGCCCTTATCTTGGCCCACGAGCCTTTCGTTATATTTTTTTCTCTCCCCTGTCTAGCTGAGGAGGGGAGTGATAGAGTGGCTTTGGTGGGCACCTGGCATCCAGCCAGAGTCAACCCACCACAGCAAAGATTGAGCATCTAGCTATGTGTAAACACTTTAAATTGGTGTTATCAACTCAGGCATTTTTCAAAAAATCTGCTGTACTTTCATCTATACCTCATTTGTCTCATATCCTTAGGTCATCTTGGTTAGAAGTCTACTTTTGCATTCATGTCAAGGAAAGCAGCAAAATAAAAGTATTGCCTGCCTGATTAATGCAAAGCATGGCAAATAAAATATATTCCTGTTATTTTAGGCTTAATTCTTTTTATTGTTTTATATGTTCGCTTTTAAAAGTGGAAATAAATGTTTTTCAAAACAGCATCTTGCCAGCATCAAGCTCTCTTTAAAATTGTAGGTGAAGTTTGTATATAATGTTATTTGTCTTATGTTTAATGCTCACAGAGAACTATGAATTCTTACCTAAATATCTCATCAGAAACAGTAGGAGTGCTCCTTGTGTAACCTAACACTAAGTGCACAGCTGTTGAGATTAAGGATCTCTGTGCATTTCCTAGGTGAGGCAGGTGTGAAGATCTTCTGTCACAAGGCTTGAAAAATCCACTTGCATCACTTGGGAAGGGAGTACTTCTCCGTGACAACACAGATTTCTTGCTTGTCAATTGGAATAAATATTATTTCTTCTAGCAAACATTAGTCCATTCTTTCATGGAAATACAGTCCAAGAATATAAGAATAAGGTAGTGAGTTTCAGACTTCATGCATCTGTGGACAGCTGTAGAGATGTGAATTCCTTCTGCTAAACCTTGTGGCTATGGTAGAGAGAAGGTTCCAGGATTGCTCGGTTCTCCTAGTTCTTTTGGATTGAAATAAAAGTGCTAAAATGCAAATTTCTTTCACAAATCTTGTGTGAATCTTTTAAAGGCAATTATAGAAGAAAAGTGGAGTAATAAAGAGCTTTTTCTGTTTCCTAAACTGAAAATGATTGTGGGTATTTTGACTAAGAGAGAACACTGAAATGGTATTGGCCTGTTTTTTGATTACTTTTTACTCTCTGGTTGACTTACTGGACGTAACTTTCCCACCTTGCCAGTGATCCATGGAGAAAATGAGAAAGCAGTAATCAGGTCTGAAATTCTAAAGTTGTCTTAGTAATTTTCTGGCTAGTTTCAGAGGAGGATATGAGAAAGTTGTCTGAAGTCTCCTTTAAAGAAAACCAAAATGAGTTTCTAAGTTTCTTTCTTTAGCCTTTCTGAGCTGACTGCATTTTTTTTTTCATAAATAATATTGTGCTGCATGGAATAGTGTGCAACATTTAAAAGAATT